CTTAGTTAAAAAAGGCTAGCTGATCCAGATTCTGACTACCGTCTTGACTTTGAATAGTAAGTATACTCTTGGCTAGATTTGATACTAATATAGAACCGCTGGCGGTGAGATTGACTTTAGGTATGGTTTGTGTGAGAGAAGAGGTTGGGAGAGAAGAGAGTAGAATCAAAGAAGAAGAAGACAGAAGAAAGGTTTTTTTTTATTTTTATTCAGAGTGGACAGAGATAGACAGACATTTTTTTCACCCCACCCGATGCTAAATGGACCTTCTCGTTCAAATAGTATGATCTATTTGTTTGAATTTTGAAATGTTGCTGAACTATTGGATTAACTGTTCTACTTCTTCAAGATACAGTATGTGTAAGATGAGTATCTAGTGATCATCATCATTAAAATATATGATCAACCATGCATATCTACTTGATGGGATACTAATAAATTTATTGTCCTGCCATATTATTGTCATTGTAGTTTGATGTATGATATGATGCACATGAAATTTACCCTTATTCTAGATTTCTACTAAGCTAGTTTATCATATATATTAGTGAAAAACAACATAGGGGTCTGTTTGATTTTGTGGTTTAATAACAGTTGAATTAGATTTTGTTAATAAAACATTCCCACGCGTTGAAAGATTTTTAGAGTGATCACAGAACTATACTGTTATTTTTAAGAAAATCAAACCAATATACTTACAATCTCTTCAGTAAATCGACATTTCCCAGAGAATTTTTTATAAGACCAATCAAACATAAGAAAAGGGAAATGCTTAAAACTGTGAGTTGACAAAGTTACCATAATGAGTAGAAGTAGTGAATCCCATGTTGCTTTTGTGTTGAAGTTGCAGGTTTTGAAACCCTCAAAAATTCACCTATGAACAATCATATAGAGGGAGCAAAACAAAGTTGTGGACCATCTATTGTCATTGATGGGTATTCTATAAAAGCTAAAAGCTTCAGGGGACCATCTTTATAATTGTTGGCCTTTTAGAGCTATTTTTGTTTCCCTCTTTTTAACTATTATATATAGAGGTCTTTTGGGCTTTTGAAATCTCTTTAACTATTTCTTCCAAAACATTTCATTTATAAGAGGCCAAAATAATGGTTATGAATTTTCGGTATTGGCAGACGGCCCAATGGATTTGGGCCCATAATCTGGAAATGGACTGGGTGTGTTGTGAGCAATCACAGGCTCACAGCGTTTGAAACACGCGCAGAGGGCGTGCATTATAAATACGTAATCCTTTTTAAAAGCTGTTCTTCATCTTCACTTGTGCGAAATCGATCGAGATTCGAGAAGATGCCGAAGAAGATGGGAACAAACAGCAAAGCAGAAGCAGCAAGAGCAAGAAAGAGCGCAACAGAATCAGATCGAAAAGAAAAAGAGACACGAGAGAAAGATGAACAATATTGGAAAGAAGCCGAAGGAGCGAAATCCAAAGCAGCAAAGAAACGTGAAGAAGAAGCTGAGAAACGTGCAGAAGCTTTAGCTCGTAAAGCTGAAGCAAGAAAACTTGCAGAACTTGAAGAAAAAGAACTTGAAAAAGCTGGAAAGAAACCTGATAAAAAAGCTACTCGAGTTTCTATTCCTGTACCTAAAGTAACTGAAGCTGATCTACAAAGACGTCGTGAAGAAGAACAACAACAATTGGCTAAACGTGCTGAAGATGCTAAGAAGAAACATGCTAGAACTGCTGATGAAGAAGAATATGAAAGAATGGTTCTTGTTTCAAATACAAATCGTGATGAATCTTTAATTGAAGCACATTCGGTTGAAGAAGCTCTTGCAAGGATTTCTGTTGCTGAGAATACTCTTCCTCCTGATCGACATCCAGAGAGAAGGCTTAAGGCATCCTTTAAGGTAAAGTTTTTGTTTGATTTTAGTTAAATTTGTGTTTGATTTAGGGTTTTTTGGGATTAATTTGTAATGTTAGGTGGAATTGATGTTTGAATTAGGGTTTTTTAGGGCACAAGTAGTTGTTAGATTGGAATACGAAATAACTATTGGGGATTAAGGGATTCTTATATCTACAGTACCAAACACAGTCTAAAACATGTATTTCATTTCATACAAATGAGAAAACTATTTGTGTGATTGCCTTTGAATATGCTATACATGGATTCCGACATATGTTCATTTTAATATAATCGTAGTTTTTGTGTCATTGTTGTCTCTTTTATTTATGGATTATGCTTTCATTATATTAAACTAGGCATCTTTCTGGTGAAATTATACGTAGGAACAGTTAATTTCTGGCTTGCTTTTACCTTTTTGTTAATTGTTTATATGAATTTGAAGGCAAGGAGAGTTCATAAAACAATTTGCTTATTTTAATATATATTTTTTAGCTGAATAAAACTTTTATTTATTAATGATATACAAAATTTAATTTTGTAATTCTTATTGGATAGGCAGTCTCTATCTCAGTGCTATTATTTGCAGCCGATTGATATATTGCACAGATTAATCATCTGGCTTGCAAGTGTTTATATTCTCATTTTGATGCTCTATTGACAATAAAACATTACCATCATTGTCTTTAGGTTAAGCGCCTCAAGTAATAGGCTTGCATATTCTTTAGCTAATTAGCTGAAATTATCCACAACAATGCCATCTTCTCTTTATTAAATATTTTGTTTATCTTGATTAGATCCATGATAGGATATTTTAATATCATCCATTCATTTGTTCGGATACTAAGGAATATTACCTTGATCTACAATCCTAATTTGGTATACTTAAAATTTGCCTTTTTTGTAGTGGTTTGATCACTCTTTGTTTTTTGTTTGGTTACCCATTGTTTGCTAACTAAATGTTGTTTTTTGTTTATTTGTGGGTATGCAATACATATAGGCATTTGAAGAAGCAGAGCTTCCCATACTGAAGGAAGAGAAACCCGGCCTGACTCATACTCAATACAAGGATATGATATGGAAGCTGTGGAAGAAATCTCCGGATAATCCTCTTAACCAGGTAAGCTAGAAAAATACTTGAGTCAATGCTTTGATGAGGTTTGTTTTTGAGGAAAGTCATCTTTTTTGTATTTTCTTATGTTTAAGCTGCTGGTTACGGTTGTAAGTATTTGAACTAAAGAATCATTTCTGGGGGTCAGTGTCTGATACATAATGTCTGTGCTGAATACACTTCTTACCTAAGCTGTCCCTACGTTTGTATATAGGTCCTTCCATTCTTTGTATAGAAAAAAGAGCATGAATCCTAAATGTATGATGTAATGATGTATAGACTATAGATACTTATTGTGGTGGGTAAAATTTTTTATGTCTAATCATACTTAAATAAATGGACTTTGAAAATATTATTTACCCTGAATAAGTTTGAGATTATGCCACATTTTCACTATATTGCTCCCTGAAAATCCTATACGGATCAACAGCCACTCTGAGTTGTATGCATAGATATTAAAAAGTATTCGTGCTTTTTGGTGTACATTGGTTTACTTGTTTCATCACTGTTTCTTCTGATGAGACGCTTAAATGTAGTGATGCATACTTTTCTCTGCACATTTAACTTCTCAGTTATCCCTTTGCACTGTATCGCTTTATGAGATGCATGAAATACAAATGTATCTGGTCAACATGTTGGGAGTTCTTAAAGCAATTAGGTTTCGAGCTAATGGTTCAAGCAACTAAACAAGTACAAGCAAAGACCGGTTCTTAATATTATTGCATAGATACCTGAAACTTCTTCCCTCTTACAAAAACATTGGCCTAACGACAAAGGTGTCAACTTCATGAAGCTAAGGGGAGCATTAGCCAGCTTCTCCTCTCTGTCTTCCTGGAAACCAATGATTTGAATACAAAAAGTTTTCATTGAGGCTAGAAGCTATACCTAACGCTTTCTTATGCTAATTTTAACAATAGTAGATGTACATTCAAATAACAAAGAGAGCAGAATAGAGATTAAGACCTAAATATATATAACAAGTGAATCAAATGACACTGCATATTTTCTTAAGGAACTACAGACACAATAGTTGGGCTGGATACAGAGTAAAAGGAATACGAAACACAACAGCTGGGCAGGATCAGAAGAAACTGACAAGTTCACTGGATTTCAGAAAGAACTGATATTGATATGAGATAGCAAATTGAAGAACTGACCTAATAGTCCAGAGTCTATATGTTAGTGATGCCAGTCTTATTTCCCTCAACCTAGGTGGTACAATAGTGAAATAAGATAAGCACACCTTTACCCCACGGAGTGTATTA